CCTTGGATATCGATTAATTCAAAAGCAAAACCTGAAGAGGGATGACTTGAAACTCCTTCTTTTGAATGGTCATCCATGTTCAATGACGCATAGCTCCTCAAGATACTAGTTTATATTCATGTACTCCATGATCTCACATACATCTATCTTGATCAATCTAAATTCCATTGTTCATTCCACTGATGATAGTTAAGAGTCAAAAAACACTTCCAGGTCAGATAAACTATATTCCAAGGTTTACAAAAGCATAGAAAGATAGAGTATCAGACCTGGATGAGACCTTGGATTTTGATTAGTTCAAAGCAAAACCTGTGGAAGTACGATTTGCAAACCATCCCTCCCAAAAATCATACATGTTTGGTGATGCACAACTTCTCCTCATGATACTTGTTAGCCTTCTAAAGTTATATGCTTCACATCCATGTGTGAATGTCCTTGGATTGATTGTCTGTTTTAATGTTTTAATGTGTCTTTTAGCCTTGCCTTTCTGTGTTTTATTGGCACTTTCCAATACAATTTAACTGCACAATCTTTGTTCTAAAGTCATTCCCAGCTTTGTCAGTTTAGGTTATGTTTTCTAAGGCATCTCTTAGCCCTGACAGTCTGTGTCCTATGCACTTCCCTGTATCCCATCGTCCATTCTTCTGAGCACAGTTGATAGCCAAAGAACACTTCCAGGTCAGAAAGACTACGCTCCAAAGTTTATAACATCATGGAAAGCTAGACTCTCAGACCTGGATGAGAACATGAATGTCGAGCTATGAGTTGTAGAACATCCCGCGTGGTTTACAGGGCTCTTTCTGCTCTGATAGTAACTGCCTTAGAGTGAAAAGCCTCATGGACATTAACATTCTTGCTTTTTATGATCTGAGGCCTTTTCTTCCTCTCTCATTACATGTGTTGTGTTTGAAGACTTCACATACAGGACACTCCATGCTCTGGAGTTCTTCTGCCTCGATCAACCTATATCTGATTGTCCATTCTTCTGATGACAGTTGAGAGCCAAAGGGCACTTCCAAATCCGATAGACTAAGTTCCAAGTTGTACATCATGGAAAGATAGACTATCAGACCTAGATGGGACCTTGGATACTGATTAGTTCAAAGCAAAACCGCACAGCAATGACTTGTAACACTTCCCTCTGAATGGTTATCCACGTTCAATGATGCACAGTTTCTTCTCATTGCGATAATTTTTCCCCCTAAAGTTAAATCCTTGTCTCAAGCTCTCTCAGTCTATGTTACATCTTTCCATGTATCTTTTAGCCCTCATAGTCTCTATCCTATTGACTTCCAACACTGTCCTTCAAAGTCGTAAAGGGGGCCCTTTCTGCTATGATTACAACCGACCTAAAATGAAAAGACCTGTGGGGATTGATATTCCTTCTTTATATGGTCTGAGATCTCTTCTCACTCTGTTATTTAGTATACTCCATTCAAGGAGTCTTCATAGGCATGACATTCCAAGTTCTTGAGTTCTTCTACCTAGATCAACCCATGTCTCATTGTCCACTCTTTGTTATAAGGTTCTGTCTTACATTGACATTCTATATGGTCTGTTTCACAAGGTTACAAAGAGCTCAGGGGCCATCTAGTTTCATAACAAAAATGAACAAGCAATATAACCAATGAAAACAATAGTTTTTATGTTCTTTATTGCAGACTCTTCAAGCTCTGACTTTTACATCGTAATGTTCATTCGAGCTTTGATCTTCTAGGATCAGATCTTACGTTGTTCTATCCAGACCTAAAATTCTATGCTCTAAGTACCTTCTGCCATTCTATGTTCTGTGTTCCAAGGTCTCTTCCAGACTTGACAATTTATATTCTAAGGCTCCTTCCAGCTCTGAGAATCTTTGTTCCAAAGTTCATTACAGTTCTGATCATCCATCCATGTTACAAGACCTCTTCCTGCCAGCCCTGACATCACTGAACAGAGAACTGCAGAGAGGAGTACCTCAGAACCCCTCTAGCAGAACCCACTCATGAATAAGTATCTTCTCAACAACATAACCAACAAATGGCCATGTGTGTTCTGTGGTTCATGGCCCCTTTTAGTCTGACAGTCAATAATGTCCTGTCAGTGCATTGTCTGTTCCAGCCATGTCAGCCTATGTTAACAAAGCCCCTTCCAAGCCTCACACAGCAAAACAATATAGCAATGTTCTGAGTTTCACAGAATCTTAGACTCACAGGATTTCAGAACTGGAGAGGATCATATAGTCCAATCTATGCCTCAAGAGAATCCCATCTGATACTATCCAGCCCTGATTCTCCATCTTCTAAGGGCCCTAACAGACTGTGTTTCAAGGTCATATGCCAATGTGACAATCTGGCTTCTTAGGCCTCTTTTGGTCTTGACACAGTGAATTACAAGGTGCCTTCAAGATTTATCATTCCATGATCTAAGGTCTATCTCAGTTCTGACATTTTGTTTTAAGGACCCTTCTATGCCACTTGCCCTTCCATTTTCTTAGGGATCTTTCAGTTATATCATTTTATCTTCTTTGTTCAATAGTTCCTTCCATGCCTAACAGTCCATGAGACCCTTCCAATTGCTGACAGAGGAACTATGACGAAGTGGATCTTTCTCCCAACAGAGAGGTGATAGATACAAGGTGCAGACACATACATTTTCAAATATAGCCACCATGTGGATTCATTTTGCATGACTGTGCTTATTTGTTACAAGTTTTTGCTTTTGAGTTTGGAAGCTGGGGAGTTGGGGAAGGTAAGGTAAGTAATATTGATACCAGAAAAAAGAGAGAGAGGTATTGGAATACTCTTCTAAGTGCACAAAAGAGAACAGAAGAAAGCCCAGGCAAGCAGAACAGCTTTGGAAGTCATGTCCGGAATATATTATATAATTAAAAAACCAAGTGGTTATGAAAACTGATTCATGGTTTCATATATAATCATCATTTTGGATGCATGTTCCGTATGTAAATGCTATTTTGGCATTTAAATTCAAAATAAAAAAGGAAATGACAAAAGGAAAAATGTATATTTGTATCAGATGACAGAAGTGTGAGTCGTGGGATGCCAGCACTTATTGTATGTATGTATCCCATTGGGCAATTTAGGCTTTGGCTTATGGGACTTAGAGGTCACTCAAGTCAGGTACTCCTCCTTCCCTGCCCCTCTTCCCCAATTCCTTTGTGTTTACTTTTCGTTTACTTATCTGCATATGTACTGAAAAGGGGAAAAGGAGAAAAACCACATCCCTATTGGTATTTTCACTAGAAATGATGCCAGAACATACAAATCAGTTGCAGTTAATGGAAATACAGTTCACAGCTTCTGTCTGAAGAGGGAAATAAAGGAACTGGTAGAGTTAGTTTTATTCAAAGCATCAAGCAATATTATTTCATGGAATATTTGGTCATCTTATCCTGAAGTACTAAGGATGAATAGAAGTAAGCAGACCACCAAGAAGAGGACAGTTTTATCATTTTAATGCATAGGTAAGGACAGGGATGACAACTGTTGGAAACTATGATAAGGGACCAAAAGAAGTAAAAGAGGATTCTTTTTTTGGAAGACAGTTGTAACGCACTGGGAGAGACAGGGGACATCATCACAAAAAAAAAAAGGGAATAGATTGTTTCTCCTAACAAAGAAAAAGAATTGCTTACTGACATAGCAGTAACTATGTGCTCTGTGTAAGTCAGATCATCAAAATTGGAGCAAAGGTAAAAATCATACTAAAATAGATATAAAGATAAAGATGCAAGGTCACTGAGTGTAATGATAGCTGTTCCAACCCCATGGGTGAAGGTCCACAGGGGTGGGGAACCTGCTGCCTCGAGGCCATGTGGCCTTTTAGGTCCTTGGGTGTGGCCTTTTGACTGAGTCCAAGTTTTACCCAACAAATCCTTTTATTAAGGGGATTTGTTCTGTGAAGTTTGAATGTGGCCTCAAGGCCACAGGTTCCCCACACCTGGAAGGAGGAACTGGGGAGTCAGTGTTGGACAACGCAAGAATCCCTGGCTCTCTCACAAGAAGCCCTTGTTCTAAACCCTCACCTCTATCCCCCACTATTCAGGTAACCAAAGGTAAGTCACATCTGAGACCTGTGCCTCAGTTTCCTCATCTGTAAAATGAAGGAGTTGAACTATATGGCCTCTAGATCCTTGCCAGCTCTTAGATCTAGGATCCTAGGATATGAGGGATGGGATAGAAGCCACTGGCTCTGGCCTCCAAGGACAGGAGGCAGTCAAATTTCACCTAGGATGCTTATTATCTGTGTGACCTTGGGCAAGTCAAAGCTTCTCTGTGCTGGTTTCATTTTAAATTGAGGGGTTCGGGGTAAAAGATCTCCCAAGTCCCTTCCAACTCTTGCTCTCTAATTCCACCTGCTCAAAATAATGGCCCAAAGCAAATATTTCTTAGAGATCTTTAAAAACGTCCAACTCATAACCTAGTGAGACTGAAAGGGCTTGGAAATGATCTTATTGTAGAAATATCTACACAGGTCTCTTTAGCTGGTAGGAGTGGGAGTGCAAACTCATCTGACCTGAGCAGTTTGAGTTCGGGACCTGGAGTCAGGAAGACCCGAGGTCCAATGCTGCCTCAGAAGCTTACTAGCTTTGTGACCCTGTCACTCAATCTCTGAGTCTCCCTTTCCTCATCCGTAAAATGGGAATGGGAATTAACATGTGTAAAGTGCTTTGCAAACTTTTAAGCGTTAGTTATTATTTGCAAAAAGCAAACAAAAACTGTTGGTGGAGAATAATAAAAAAGTACGAAAAGCATCACTTTGAGAAAGAATGAAAAGTCGGTTAGGGGAAATTGATCCCTAAGTTGCCGCGCTGAGCCATCGAAGCTATTCTCTCTTTAGCTCAGGGGTCTGCCGGCTCCACCAGTCAGATGCTTGCAGGGCCCGCCCTGGATCTCCAGTTCTGGGCCCCCCTTCCCCGCCCCCCGTCTCCCCGCCTCCCCACCCCCACCCCCCACCCCCGCCCCCAGCGGTCCGGCGCGCGCAAGAGTTGCCATTCCCTAGTGTTAGCTCAGTGCCAGCGCGGCACGGCAGGGAGGGAATCAGGGGGCGCGGCGCTACCCGGGCCTGGCAGGCTCCACGTGGCGGGCCGACCCCCTCCCGCGGGCCCCCCTAGGCTCTCTCCCCGCCTCTCTCCCTCGCAGGCCCGGGGGAGCCCGGGAAGGGCAGCGTAGTCTTCGTGGCCGGAAAGAGCTGGGTGGGGGCGGGGCCGAAGTCTCGGGCCGCCATCCCCTCCCCCTGTCCTCCCCCTCCCGCCGGTGCCCTGGGGCCGCCCGCAGCCCGCCCGCCGCCTCCCGCGCAGGTGGGTGCAGACCGCAGACAGGGTGGGCTCGGGGCGGGGCGGGGCTGGGAGGGCTGCCTTGAGGGGCTCAGGGTTGGGAAGGGGCGTCTGCCCCTCCCTCCCGCCCCTGAAGGGGCTCCTTCTGCGCCAGCTAAGCGGGGGGGGGGCGGGGGGGGCTGCCCGCAAGCACAGAGTAAGGAGGGGCGGGCAGGGGGCTGGGGCGCCCCTGGCCAGTCTGCCAGCCTGCTGCTATGGGCCATGGGCCGCAGCTTGGAACCCTGGGACCCAGGATGTGAGCTCGAGCGCCGGGGTGGACTTTTCAGAGGTCATTGAGTTTAACCCCATTATTTCCCAGATGAGGGGACCCAGGGCAGACTTCGACACGGCACAGCGTGGCTCGCAGAGAGGGGTGAAAGGGAGGAAATAGCTACTTGGAAAGGTGGGAAGGAGGCTCTTTCCGCCCTCTCACTTTCTAAGGAACAGGCCTCACTTTCAACCCGGAATGCTTAATTAACTTCTATTTGCTAAGACCAAGTGCCTCCAAAAGAAGGTGGCCTGTTCTCATCAATGACCTGTAGCCAGAACAGAGTGGTGGCATTTTTGTTAACACGAATAATCTTATTCCCTAGCTCCTCTCTTCTCTACCAGAGCCTGGCCTCTCCACAAGTAGCTCCCTCCATCTGGAGGCTTCAGCTAATTGGAGCACTGTGCAGAGGTTTCTTCCCCTTGACATTCTCATTTGATCGGTACCTAATCTTAGCACTGACAAGTCTCCCCGCCCTCTTTGGCCATTTCCTCAGTCTTTCAATTGAAAATAGCCTATTCAGCAAAATTCAACAGTGGTTGGTGGTAGCTGGAATTGGAAAAAAAAGTAGAGATGATATGGATATTGTCAAGGAATGTAGAGGCTAAAGGAGGGAACTAAGATGTCGTTGGCATACCCAACTGTAGGCCCTTTGAGAGCTCCAGAGCCACCCTCTCCATCAGCTATGTTGTGTGTGGGAGAATAGAAGGTCCAGCTTACAGTAGAGAAGCTTAAAAGCCAACTGGGATATACCAATAATAATAATAATAATAATAATAATAACAATAACACTAATACTGATAACTAGCATTTACATAGCATTTACCAAGTGCCAGGCACTGGTGTGCTAAACACACACATGTGTGAAAGGAGAACAGGTTAAAAAAGAGGTGGGACTCCAAGCTGGATCTCAAAGCAAAGTGAGGTTTCAGACAGAGGTAGGGACCATGGGGAGGACATTCTAGAAAGGGTGAAGCAAAAGAAAAGTAAAGCCTGGATGGAGGTAGAAGATAAGCTTGGGGTATGCAGGAGATACCCAGGAGGGCAGCCATAGGAGGCAAATGTTCTACCACTTCCCAGGGATTCATGAGAGATACTGAGTTCTTTTAAAGTGTAAATTCCCCAGTTAATATGAATACTTTACAGCTTAGTCCATGCTAACAAAAGACTTTACTTCCTAAATTTTCCTTGGGTCTAATTGGATTTGTTAGCCAACTTTGAGGCCACAGAAGACCTAGTAGAGTATCCCTGTCTAGGTCACTGATTTCTGTGACAGGCAATTGGGAGCCAATGCTGGTTTTAGAGCAGAATGGTGACATCATAAAAGCAGTGCTTTAGGCTATTTCATATAAAATTGTGGCACAGGATGAATTGAAAGTGGAGCCAAGTCTGGGAGGCCAGCAAGGGGAGGCAGTTGTACAGATTCTGATTTGAGGGTTAGAATTAGGGTTAGAAGAGGCCTGAACTGTAGCAGCGTGAATAAAGAGGAAGGGACGACTGAGAGAATCTGCAAAGGATTTGTTATCAGTGGGAACTGGCGAGGCTACAAAAGACAAAGATGTCACCGAGATTTCACTTCTAGGGCACTGAAAGACTGACAGTGCTATTTATAAAAATGAGAAAATTCGGAGAGATCTCAGGGATGTGGGTAGAGAGTTTGGTAAATTGGGTTTTAAGCCTATTGAGATGATACAAAGGGATGTATCTGTAAATATGGAACTAAAGCTAGGATAAGAGGCTAGAACTTAAGGTCACAAATTTGTAGGTACAGAGCTAGAATGGACCTTAGACATCAACTTATTGACTCTCTTCAGTTTATAGATGAGGAAACTGAAGCACAAAGAGGCTCAAGCAGTTTACCAAGGAACTCATACTGGCAGTAAGAGGCAAAGTCAAAATTTAAATTCAGGACCTCGGATTCCAAGTCTACCCCTCTTCCCACTCTACCACACCGCCTCCAGTTGTAGGCCTCTGCAGAGGAATGAGATGGCTAAAGAAATGGCAGTGTGTGATCTCTCTGAGGTAATGAGCAGGAGAAAACTAGGCACCCAAGAATTGACTGGACACCCAAATAGGTAGAAAGGGAGACTAAAGAATGGGGAACACAGCTCCTCTGGAGGACATGAAATCAGAGATTGCAAAATGGAAGGAACTTGAGACCTCATTTCTATCTCCAACTTATTCTATATTTGGAGTTTGTGGGAGAGGGTAAGGTTGGAGGTGGTGATGGTGACATGACTAGTTAAGGACATGAATCAGTAGGTGGCACATCCTAACCACCTCAAGCTCAGGTCTCCTGGTCCCAATGCCCGAAGAAGTCAGGAGTCAAAGAACCTCTCCCTCCCCCTTTCTTGTCACAGTGGGAAGTGGGGCCGTATGATACTTTCAGAATAGAATCACATAATTTTGGAAGTGACAAAGACTTTGGAGACCATCTAATACTACCTTCTCATTTTATAGATGAGGAAACTGAAGCCCAGAGAAGGGAGCCCTGAGGTCATTGAGCTTGCTAGTGATGGAGCTGAAACTAGAACCATGGTGTCCTGACTCACATTCTACTTCATTGCCTTTCTATGTGATGGGTTCCAGCCCAGTTATTCATTAATCAACATTCCATCACTCAAGCCCCATTTCCACTTTAGCTCCCATTTTTCAATGGCCCCAGGCCAGTGTAGCAGTAAGGAATTCAGGGCTGGAGTCTAGCTGGCTGAGATGTGGCCTGACAGCATTTCCTGTTTAGCTAGACAGCATGATTGAGAAGTGTAAATCCCAAGATGTGGCTCGAATGGAGCACTGCTGAGGTCACCCTCACTTAGTAGAGTGAGAGGTCTTACTTCTCTCCATTTCTTTCCATAGTTGGGCCCCCAGGTTACTGAGGTACTACAGAGGGCTCAGGGGCATGACTCCTTGCCACCCTCTGCAACCAAAGACCTTGCCAGGTGGCAGAATGATATGGATGTCCCTTCTAGCCTAGTAGTGCAGGAGATGCGTTGGCCTCTCAACCTAAAACCATTGAAAGAGTTCTGGATTTGGTATAAAGAGGTCCCGAGTATAAATTCTGTCTCTGCCACTAATTAATTATGTTAATTTGGGAAGTCCCTTAATTCCCACGAGGGCCTCAGTACCTCATGTCTGAAATGCAGAGTTTGGATTATGTGATCTTGAAAGGCCTTTTCAGTTAGAAATCTATAATCATAGACAGTAGAATTGGCCTATGAAATAATTGATGAAGGACAGCCTAGAATTGGATTGGGAAGTACCTTCCTGAGTCATCTAGTTCACTCCCCCAGCCTGGTACTTGCATCCTTCCCCTAGTTGGCTTTTGCAGGTATGCAGAAGGGGTTATTTATTATGGAAGTTCCTAAAAGTTTACAAAAGAAGCACCAAAGGAAAAAAAACCCTTTTCTCCTTTTTATTCTTTCTTTTTCTAGCCCTCTCCTTATCTCTCTCCTTCTTGATCTGTCCATTCACAGCCCACTGACCTGGGCTGCATTGCAGCCCCAGCTTTTCATCTAAGCTGCCTTGGTTAGGATTCTGGCAAATGGCTCCCAAACCTGCACCTTCCCATCCCTTCTGCTACCAGCCTAGTTCAGGCCCTCCTAACCTGTCACACATTTTATTGCAACAACCTCCCAATAGATGCTCCTGCTTCCACTCTGTTCTCCCTTCTAGTCCAGCCTCCCTGCTGGTTAAAAACATCTCAATACTTTTTACGCACAGCTTCGATTATATCCCCCACTGTTCACAGTCTTTCACTGCTGCCCATTGCGGGCTACATGAAATCCAAATTCCACAGTGTTAAGTGATGCTTCTTTCTTTCAAAATTCTGTGTTATGATTTCCAACCAGAATTGTGAGAAATAAGCCTACCCTGGCCTTGGGTTCCTTTTACACCTTTTTGCTTTTGCTAAAAGTCCTCCTAATCTCTTACTCTTATATGTCTTTCCTTGAAAACAGTAGCATGACTATATTAAGCATGTAGAATTAAAATACTCATTGATTATCTTGAGAATTTTTAGCTCAAAAACATATGTAAACCATCATTCATCAAAATAGGAATTAAATCATGAGGAATTTATATTAGCAAGAACTTCCCACAGTAACAGACATATCACAGACAGAAAAGACTTGTTGACAGAAGGGAGCAGACACATGTATCCTTGGGGACCAAAGCTGGACCTGAGCTAACTAGGCAAAGCTAGGCTAGAGCAAGACAAATACCTTTCTCAGAATCCGGGCTGGACCTTCTTGCTGGCGGGCTGTGAGAGTTCCTGATCTCTTCGAAAAGCTAGGGCCTCCTTGGAGATGGGCTCTGAGAGCATTGGTCTCCTCCAGCAGAGCCCACTTGCAAGCCGATGTCCAGGGAGAGAGAAGGAGAGCTGTTCCCACTGAGCTCTCCAAGTCAGAGACAGCAAGACAGGGAGCAAGTCTTAGACTTGTCTCTTTGTTGGGGTTGAGCCTTTTTAAAAACCAGGGAAGATATTGATCACATTAGTCACTCCCCTTCTTTCCCATGATTGGAGTATCTCAGGAATGTTCATGGTTCTGTCACATTTCTTCCTGTATCAGTTTGACTTGGCAAATATGTTTCTTCTTTGTACTCATAAGTTAGATAGAAGAGCATTATAGACAATCCTTGTATCTTCTTCAAGGACTAGAAAATCTTCCCGTGGGAAGGAAGGAGGTGTAGCTTTGTAGGGACATTGTGTAGACTGTGT